AGGAAACAAAAGCGCATTAAAACGGCTTCAAACTCGCAAAATTTATTTCTAAACTTCATTTGCATGACGCTCCTGTCGAAGTAATCGTTTTTATCGAAAGAAGACGAAGAAAGCGCCTGTATCAATTTCAACTTTGGTTGACGTACACAATAGTACATGGATGTGGCGTACCGAAAATAATTAATCACACATTCTCATGTTCGTGTTTTTAAATCATCACTTACCACTTGGTCATCAGGATGCTGTTTATCTTCGTCACCAGTCTGGTCGCAGCTTTCTTTATCCAGGGGCAATTCATCACCTTCATCCTCGACTGTTATAACCACCTCATCAACAGGTGCTACTGGCGTTTTAAAACATTCGGTGGATGAGTCACTTGTTTCGGTTTCCTCAGAAAGATGTCTTGTCAAATGATAAGAAGGGTTAATTTCCAGGCTCGCTGATTCCTCGGGTTTACCTTGTGATACAGAGGGCGACGAGTGAGAAAATTCCATGCCGAACGTGTCTCCTTCTTCCAGTTCAGAAGGAGTTGTTTCCAGGCTCACTGATTCCTCAAATTTTCCGCATAGCGCAGAGTGCGACGACGGAGAGGATTCCATGGCGAGGGTGTCTCTTTCTTCCAGTCCAGGAGTTGATTCCAAGCTCGTTGATTCCTCTGATTTTCCGTGTAGCGCCGAGTGCGACGACGGAGAGAATTCCATGCCGCATGTGTCTCCTTCTTCCAGTCCGGGAGGAGTTGTTTCCAGGCTCACTGATTCCTCAGAATGCGACGACGGAGAGGACTCCGTGGCGAGGATGTATCTTTCTTCCAGTCCAGGAGTTGTTTCCAATCTCGCTGATTCCTCGGGATTACCTTGTAACGCAGAGGGAGGCGGTGGAGAAGATTCTACCCCTCCAGGAGGGGTTGTCGGTTGAGTAGTCAGAATATCTGAAGATCTGGTTGATTCTCTGTCTTGATCAAAAATAAGGAGGATAGCCGACAGGGATACTGGGGATCCAGTAGATAGTTCCTGTTCTGTTTCGTCATCAGAGCTTAGAGAGGATGAGGGTGGTAATCTCATAATTGACTGAGAGCAGTCCATATTTTGTGTCTCCGAAGTTACCTGAAGTGTTGGGACAGCTGTCAAGGATGGAGATCTCTGCGCAGTTTTATCTGACAAACAACTTACCGAGTTGTTTATAGAGTTTGGCTCTTTGCTCTCCACGATCGTCGAGAGTTGCTTTCTAAGTGTGTCTTCGAATTCCACACAAACTGCAGAGGGCTGAGACGAAGCAGGATAATTATGCTTTGGTCCAGGAGAATCACGGTCTTCTTTATTCTCCACCTCAATTTTTATTTCATCTTCATTTATATCCAGAATAAGATCGTTTTTCGCAGACGGTTTATTGCACTCTCCAAGTTCAGGATCTTTCTTGAAGGTTTTACTACACTTCCTCACGCAGTGTTTGCTATGTACAAATGTAAAAGTAGAGGCAAAGGGAAATAGGTCAGCTGTTTAACGACGTCTATTTAGCATAGTATTTATAGGGAGCTTAAGCAACGACGGCTGCGACGGTAAAGAGAACGGAAAAAAAAGCAATAGGTTTAGACAGAAGCATATATGCCTCTGGTTTAGATTGGCAAAACAACAACTTTGCACGTGCATCACGCATTTTTGTACATTTCTTTGCCGTCGGTACACGACTACAAGACCCCTACAACGTGAAAGTGCCTAATTTCACGTTATGTCGAGGACGTGAACTCAAGAAAGCGACTTTCTTTTTCTTTTTCTGAACTTCGATACAGTCTTTTAGACTTCAGCTCCAGAAAAACTTGCCAACATTTGACAAATTCAACCAGTTGGAATAAGCGCGATAAAGTTTGAAGTAGACCGAGTTCACTTTTTGAGTGACGTTTTCGTTGCTGTCGCCGTCTTTGTTAATTAAGCTCCTTACTAACGACTTTGGACAACGTTGAATTATTTCTGTCATACTGCTTCAATATTTTACGATATATCCTAGTCGTAAAGATATTTGTAAGACTACCGTCTCCTCCCTAACCCGTTTACGTTGTGTGTTTCAAGAGCATTCTTTTGGTCCGGAAAGTAGTACATACCAAAAAGCATCCATAATATGGACAGCAACTAGACCATTGCCCATATTAATCATAGAGGTGTCCAAATTATGGGGTTAAGGCTTATCTGACGTTTGGCGTCTTAAGAAACAAGAGATCTTGCCTTAAAAAGGTGCCTGTATTATGAAGCCGTCCCAAAGAAGAGGTTTCACTGTACATTCAAAGTTCCGAAGGAACAAATTGAATAGTCTACGTAATGGATTCTGATAATTTGGAAGAAGGAGAATTCTAATACCAGAAAGCTCAGAACAAAATGTTGAGCTCCAGGTTTCGTATATAAGACTGTTGTGTCTGCTCTACAGGTGCGCGTAACGACAGATTTTAGTATACAGTGAAATTCACAATACTGACACCTTTTTCCTCCTTTTCGTACGAATAGTACCACCCAGTAGCTTAGAAGAGTCATAATTATTTGAATACTACTAAGTACGGAGCTAAAACCAGTCTTAGAGCCAACGGCGGTGGAAAGCGCCGAGTTTATTGTGTGTTTACTCCAATGTAAGATGAGTTAAAGATGAGTTAAAATATTTCAGGAAAATATTAAGAAAGGCTTAGAAGGGACAAGCCTAGCTGAAACTGATGCATTTCCCTCACAAATAGCCTATACAATAGCAAACTCGTTTGCGAAGTGTGACGCATTCAACATGTACTTAAACCTTAATTTCTGCTCGCTTCAATTCCTGAACAGTGAGATTGAACAAAAACGCAATAGAACAGTATTCACTTTGGACGAGTAAATTTTAAAACAACATACCAAAGACATAGAAGTGCTATCAGCAAACCAAGCATCGCCAAGCCTCCACAAATTGCTGGGATGAGTATTAGTAATTTTGGACCTGATTTGGCCTGTTTTTTATTTCCTTCATCTCCAGTATCTCGACTTTTCGCCTCCTCCTCTGTGAGGGAAGGTCCCAATCTTCGTTTTTTTCTGACTCGGCTCTTCTTTTGGCTATCCTTTTGGAGATCGTCAGTACCATATGGCCATCTAATTTCTGACGACCCGATGTCATAATGAGCGACAATTTTCTCTAAGGCGCTCTTTGTCTTCGCTCCCTTATTTGTACGATGACCATCTTCCATGACTCTGGTGAAGGTTCTCCTATGAGCCGAATCCTTTTCATCACCCTTATATCCTCCTGGGTCTCTGCTATAATTAACTCGTTCTTGGTCCAACTCGGCTCGGAAAGGCTGCGTTCCGCTCTGCGCCAAACGGTCTCTTACTCTCGCCATCAGACCCTCAAAGACCGAGTCCTGAACATTAGCACTGTATCCTCTTCTCCTTTTTTTATAAGCCTCTGGCTCGATAAAATTTGTTTCCTTATAAGATGGAGCCTTTACGGCTGCGCCGTTTAGTCTTTTGACTTTGCCATAAGGAGTCTCCTTTCGTTCCCGCTCCTCAATGACAGGTTGCGTCCCTTGTACTCTAACCTTATTATCCTCATTAGACGAGGCATCCAAGGCTAGAGTGACAGCAACACCCCCTTGTTGCAACAAAGAGGGAGTTGGTTGTACTTCTTCCCGTGGGAGACGTTCATAATCGTCTGTTAATTTGGGTTGTGCTCTCTTATAGGCCGCGTGCTCTTGTTCAGGACTGTATGTTTTTCCGTTTTTGCCATACGCAGCAACCTCTTGTTCCATCTCAGCGGCAACAAGTTTTGTACGAAAGTTATCTTCGCTTATGGCAGCTGAACTGCTTCCCCTATCGGCGGTTTCGCCGTTTGGCTTTGATGACCCATCGGCGACTGCAAGGGGGAAAGTATAATCTTATTATTTTTAACATTGTTTGGCAAATCAATTTAGATGTCTTCCGAAGATAAGATACAATATTACCTCTAAGGAGAATAGAACAATGTTACATACGGCGCTTCTGAAATGAGGCACGAACTGGACTAGTTCGGTTAAATTTCGAATTGACTTTAAGATATTACTAACGTATGAGGCTATCAATGACTTAGCTCCTATACGAGTTACGCTCCGATTATGATGGGCTGCTTCTAAATTCTCTAAAAATCAAGACAAACGACTTCTATGCAGGCTATTTGCCTCTCTCTTGATCGCGACTGCTCTCTATTTGCTTGTGTCGCCGCCTATTTTTTATAAAACGACCCCCATTAGTTGACTGCATGGCCACTCTTGTGGCTTCGCTACTTTACTATAGGTATTTTAAGTTTGCTCTTGCTTTTAATGTATTTGTTAATCTTTTAAGCCGCAACATTAGCACGCGAATTCTTGAAAGTGACTTCATACATTTCCTTGACGAATTAGTGGTAAGGATTTTGATAAAAAGATCAAAGCATTTTCCCGTTGGTGATCATTTTGTTGAAATTATTAATATTTTCCCTGTGATGATGTATTGCCCCAGGAGAAAAATAGTTGCTGGTCAAAACCTTGGCAATCAAAGGGTTCGAAGTCTTATACACAGTTACTTATTATCATTTTTTAATCATATATTTTGTTATTTTCTATCCGGTGAAGCTTATAACATGCGCATTATAAAAACGTCATCACGGTTCGGGCTAAATATTTCAATGGGATAACTACTGTTCAGCAATAACGAAGCTAGTTATTTCACGCCGGAGTTTGTATTTTTTACCTGGTGTGGCAGAAACTGTAAATGCAGTTAGTCGACTCAAAAGGGAAAACGTTCTATGATAACTATCGTTATTATGTGCTTGAACTCATCAACTCTTTTGTGTACATTTTTTTAAAGACCTCATGTGAGTTTTTTTTTCGGAAAGTGAAAGTTACGTTTCTTCCCATTTTTAAATGGTCTCATCAAAGCGAGTAAATTATTCTTTGCTAAAGTGTAAATCTTACCTTTATAAGCTGCACTTGATACCAGTAGACTGAATAAAATCAATATTGAAGCCTTTTTCCTTTTTCTCATTTTGAACGGCAGTTTCGCAAATGAACAATCAAACGCATTTTCAGTAGAAATCAATTACTTACTGACGTCACAAAGACTTTTTTTTTATGGTCTCGCACTTAGCCCGCGCGCGCTAATTAATGTGTAGACTTTGGTGTGAATGGAAGAAATAAAAGATTAAAACATAGCCCGAGGGTATAATCCCTATAACAAGCTATACAAGGAGGCTCCGCCCGAAGGGGGTACCATTTCAGGCTTTAGTAGTAGGTAAGGGTAGGGATTTCATTAGTTAAAGTTTCTGAAAGTGTAGGAAAATCTCCCGCGCGGGGTACTTGGGTTGATTTTTTGCTGGGCGTGTGCAGCTGGCCCCTCAGAGCCCCTACGCCATTATAGTCTATTATGTGGCCAATTATATACCCCATCCTGGTCCCTTTTGGGCAAATACGTAATTTTCGCGACCTCAACTTACTCACTTTCTATTTTGATGAATTGACCCATTGTTTAGATTGAACATTAAAAGAACACTTTACTTTTCATCTACAACACAAACATTCTGGTACGTTTGCTAACCGTAAATATGAAGAACCGTCTTACCCAAAAAAAAACCGAAAATGTGCGACCCCATTCTAGTAACTCTGTTGAAAATGAGACCCCATTGTATTCAATCCGGTCGTGAAAATGCCACCCAATCCAGCGGCACATCCCCATTAGCCTCTTATAAGGTAGTACCCCCGGGGGACATCTGTCATCTTGATCTGTAAAAGGACCAAAAAGGGCTAACAGGCGCATTATACGGATTTGAAACTTCAAGAAAACTTCCTGTTTTTGTGATCTATTCCTATTACGAAGACGTTGCTTTTACAGCAGTCAGAAGGGATTCAGTCTTCCAAACTAGGAATGTGAAAGGGGTATCATTTTTCAGTAGAAGCTATGCAAAAAAAAGAATAGGGTGTATAATCTTAATTGTGTTTGTTGGACTGTTTGCGAATAGATTTTAAGGTAAGCAATAAAATCTTTAATTTATTTTGTCCAGGAACAGGTAAGTAGGACGCGGTCTATACGGTGCCTAAATCCGCCCGTGCTGGCCTTATCAAAATTTATACAACATTTTTGTTTTAAAAAAAAGGAGGGGGGGGTAAAAGGTAGGATTTACTCAGTTAAGCTTGTTAAGTTTCGTTGAAACGCGGCAGAAATAGGTTTTTCTGGGAAATAGGCTATTCTTCTCTCTCCATTGCTGGCTGGCAAAGTATTTCATACTACATTGCTGGTACAAAGCAATGACAGAAAATTATTCTTGGTTGGGATTATGGTCCGTGTATTCGCTTGCTGGGAAAAGGGATCCTTTGAACTTTTAGGGTCTGTTTACATTGAGGCGTGGGACCCGAGGTAGGTGAGGTAACACGCTTAGGTGAGGTATCCCGCCTGTCCATATCATAATCTCTCATTTTAATTTGATCACCTTTGCATGCTAGGTGGGGTAAGCAGCCGCGGGTTACCTCACCTACCTGTGGCTCCCCACCTTCATACAAACAGGCCCTTAGTCTTGCTGGCTCTGAGACGAAAGAAAATATATATGAAATGTTCCCTTTGTGTATTAAATGAGCTTACAAAGGGAACACATTTTCTCCTCTAGGAATATATAGACGTGTCGAAGCTCGCTGATATTACGATATTACCTCCTACACCAACAACAATCTATCGTTTCTATTTCCGTATTGTCAAACTCTTAATTGTAACGAGCTTTTAGTTCTATCTTCATTTTTCTTTTAGCCCCTGAGGAAGATGTGTTTTCAAACCGAAATATTGTGAAAATTTGCTTAAGTATATATTTTTTTGTTTTGTTTATTTTGTTTAAGAAACACTTACGAAGGCAAAACCACAACAACAAGCCAGTGAGGGTCCGCTGGATCTTTAGTAGATCTGGATCAGTAAAATCTTGAGTACCAAATTTTCAATTTAAAACAGTGAACTGATCCTTACGGCAGGAAGAGTGATAAAAAAAATAAATAAAGGATCATTTCACTGTTTTATTTTGAATACTTCTTCATCGCCTTGCCGTAAGGATCAGTTTCCCGTTTGTACTGTAGAGGCCCTGTTAGGTTCAAGATAAAAAAAAAACATTTCGATATCCTGTCGGATTTTATGACCTTGATTCATTTCTTCTTGAATACAGAATTAAGCAGTGTTTTAAGACTAATATCACAGAATAAGAATTTTTTCTTCTGGAAAAAGAATTCGTGGTACTACAAATGACGACCGCTCATCTCCAGCCTTCAGACGGCTTTTCAGAAGAGCTAAAATAGACTAAATGACAAAATTGTTTAACTTGTGAATGACTGTGTAAGACCAGAAACTCATAAGGGGTCGAAACGTGTAACTCTCATATGTTTGCTTTGTCCGATGCTCGTGATTATTCATTTTCAAAAGTACCATATTTGGAACGAGAAGAAGAGACAACTGACCAATCAAAATTCCTAAACAACGTGACGTAATTTTACTTCATGTTCCCGCTCCCGCTTGAAAAAAATGGCCGACAAACGGGGGAAAAACTCCCGAAAGCCGAGAAAGCTTTCAAAGGTTCAAACCAGGAATCTTACCGAAACACTGAGCAGGATATCATTGCCTTACCACCCGGGCCAAACATAACATTGACGTCCTCGCAACTTCTTGAAGTCGTCACTTCAAAAAACGATGCCTCGTTGACCCTCTGCACAGTAAACTTATACTGCAACTAGGCTTTTAAAATTCTTATATTAAAAGTCTAGAATAAACAGTGGAAAATATTTTCGAATAAAATTCATTAGCTGCGTATCGAAAAGTGTCCAAACCTGAACCTGACATCTTCGCAAAAAGTGATGCGTGTAATGAATGTTACCCTGCATTTAAGCTTAAATTCAGCTTGGATGTTGTAGTCTCGATCGTGTTTTGAGCTAATTTTATGAATGAACAAACTCAAAACAATAGACAGAGAAGCCGTTTCTTAAAAATTTTTATTCAAAATTCAAAAAGTTAATCCTTTAAAGCAATTCGGAAAACCGTAGTTACTAAAACAAGGAATGACCTACAATGACCTACAATGATCTACAATGAGCTACTATGACCGAATGTGTAATCCCGTAGTTACTAAAACAAGGAATGATCTACAATCACCTACAATGATCTACAATGACCTACAATGAGCTACTATGACCGAACGTGTAATCCCTGTAATGAGCTAAAATGAAGATTTTAGAAAAAGACAAAAAAACAAAAAACAAAAAAAAAAAGGGGACGTGTGTCGTAGTTACTAAAACAAGGAATAACCTACAATGACCTACAATGGCCTACAATGAGCTACAATGAGCTACAATGAGCTACAATGAGCTACTATGAGCTACAATGAGCTACTACGAGCTAAAATGAGTTAAAATAAGCCCTACAATGAGCTACAAAATGACAGACAATGATGTTTGTCGTGTGTCACGCTTGGACGTGACACTAGGCTCATGGTATTAAATTGCCAAGCACATTTTGAAAAGGCAAAACACAAAATTGTGCCTGATCTCAGGTAACTTGAAAAACTTGAAAATAGATTATTGCAATCGCGTTTTTACCGGTATAGCACTATTATACCCTGTATTGACGGAAGTCATGCAGGCACTCCCTTATTTGGCCAAGATGGGTATGGGCCGCTGAGCAGGATATGGATTTTACTATTTAACGTTACAAACAGAGCATCCTGATGGACCGAAAGCCATTTAAAGGGTCTTATGATGTCTTATACAGGCCAGGGTACTAAAAAAAATGAACAATTTTTCTTTTGAACAGGGTCAGAATTTGAAGGCCTCCTTTGTTCCTCTCTACTCTTACGTCCCTTGAAGATCCCCCGGATCGACTGTTGGGGTGACTGTGTTTGTTCAATTTGTTTGAAAAAAAGACAAGACAAAATAAAACTAATGCGAAAGGTTGCAAGGGATGGTTTGGACAAAAGTCACAGTATCATCATACATGTATTATTACACTGTAAATTTATCTCCAAGCGTAATAATTAGAGATGCTGTCATCGTTAAATGGGCTGTCATGCAGTAGACTAAACGCGTTACGTTTACGCACACATGTCCCCTGATCTTGCTTTTTTTTTTGGTCTTTTTCTAAAATCTTCATTTTAACTCATTATAGGGATTACACGCTCGGTCATAGTAGCTCATTGTAGGTCATTGTAGATAATTGTAGATCATTGTAGGTCATTGTAGATCATTGTAGGTCATTGTAGGTCATTGTAGATCATTGTAGGTCATTGTAGGTCATTGTAGATCATTGTAGGTCATTGTAGGTCATTTCTTGTTTTAGTAACTACGTTCGGAAAACACTATCTGGATCGTGGATCCGTGCACTCAAGTGAAATCGGCTGAGCACATGGCAAAATCAAACACAAAATCCATCTCAAATTGGAGCACATTTTGTAATTTTTCTTTAGCGCCGAAGAGAAAAATTTATAAAACTTCTATGAAACATTTAAAAATGCATAAATTCCCCTTCAAAAACGTAATTGTCTTGACCATAGAGTGCAAAATGTACCTGAAAATTCAGCAAAAACTTCACTGCCTTGGTTGCATTTCAAAACAGACCATGCGCTCCGTCGAGAAGAAAACAAGTTTGAATTCCTCGAAGGACAATTTCTTGATGAAAAGCTCCCCTTCCTCCACAAAAAGAAAGCTGAGCATTCTTTTGAACTTGTTCTTTCCATTTTTTGTCTTTTAACGGTGTATTTTTAAACTAGAAATGCAGAACTCTTGTCTTAAAACATCTGCATGGTGATCGCGCGGCAGCCATTTGTTGAAAATGGATATTTGTCACTAAGGTTTCCAAATATAGTAAAAGTGAATATTCACGAGCATTGAACGCGAGTTACACGTTTCAACCCCTTATGAGTTTCTGGTAAGACTAAAGACCCTTTCTTGGTTGAGCGGTACATACCTATCCCACCTACCTATCCCACCGGTGGGGTTACCGGTCGTTTCGATACAAAGTCGTTTCGATAC